GCAAAGATGTCCCTGAGTCGAGCACATAGCAGCAGGGAGCGAGATGCTAACAGGCAGGGCATACGTGGAACGCCAGGAAGAACACGAGAAGCTCAAGGACTGAGAGGGGAGCTAAAGATTCAAATGGATATGTACTTCAACTGATTATAAAGTCCGGAGTTCCCGAGACAGTGTAACTGAAGTGATTTGAAGCACTTTCCACCAAACTGTCAGAGACTATCAATATGCTTGTATGCTTTTGACAGATTGATTAATTTTATTTGCTTATTTAATCAGATTTTTCCTATTATATCAGTTTTTATATTTGACATCTGTTAAATAAACCACTTCATTCCATCGACTTTTGCAGTTAAAGATGACTGAAGTAAATCTTTACCTGTAGGGATTGATGTGTCATCCACAGGCAGGTAGGACTGCGCAGTGATGGACACCTGATGGTCGTAGATATCTGCTACACCCTGGAGCACAGATAAGAGATCATTGTCATCCTCTCCATACATATACCCACGTTACGCATCTCGATGTGAGGAAGAAGGAGTTGATCTGTCTGAGACTCAACCAACACACTCACTAATACCAGAACATCCTGCCAAAATAGGCCCTCCTCCTTTAACAGTTTAGAAATAAAATTGTGAAAAACTGACTGAGAGTTTCAGTGTTTGATATCAAGAGTTTACGTTAATTTAGGGCAGAATGCTATTTTAGATTTCTCCTTGGAATCACCTTTAAATCCATATAGTATGTAACAGGAAATGATGTCATCAGTAAACAGGAAGCTAGATGGGAGGTTGGGTTGTATGAAAGACGGAGCTCGTATGTTTTCATTGTTATATCTGTACATCGTGAAGAAGTAAAAGTGGTCGTGCCTCGTGATGTTGCCGTTTAACCTGTCCCTGTGTCCTTACTGTGGATGTTGGACTTTTTTAACCAACAGGACTCAGAAACTCTCTTTCTGGTCTCCGTTCCACCTCCACTGTTCTCCTGTCACTGCTGGCCCCTCACAACACCACGGGCTCGCTGTGCAGGAGTTTGTAGAGTGGTGTGACGGCTCCAAACTGAACGTGAGCAAAACCAAAGACATGGTGGTGACCTTCTCC